GTAACAGATGTTGATGTACACCTAAAGTTGGGTATGTGAAACTATTAGGAGACTCTTAATACATCCTACAAACATAAGGAACTGATGAATTTTACATTAACCAGTTGCCGCTCCCATAGGGACGGCAATAACCCTCAAAAGTTGAAACTTTGCGAAATGGATTAACCAGGGTTTATCTTTAAACATAGCATATATGGTTTTGGTATTTGGCCTCCTTTTGTGGAAACTGAATAAATACTTCTGAAGAATGAAATTTTCGTGGAAAACGTTTTGTTTCTCCTCAATCCAGTATTGGTCGAAGGCTCAGATATACTATTGCATAACATGATACTTAACATAAATCATTTCAGCAAACACCAAAAGTGTTATTATGTATTCATGTCATAAGCTACGCTAAAGTATTATAGAGATTGAAAAAAAAAGAAAGAATTTACTACAATACATTAGATCATTTGGGTACAATGCACAATACTTTCAATGTATATTTTGACACTCGAATGGGAAAACCCTAGATATTCATTCTAGCTTATATTCAGTTCAGGCTAATCAAATTCAAAGAAGGGTGACACTTGGTTAGCACAGTTCGCCCATTCGAATGCTTTGTTGAAGGTTTTTTGATAACGGACTTATTAAAATGTTTCATTACCTGGAACAACTTTTATTGGGCTTCATTGATAAACAGGTTCAGACCTGTTACTATATTTGATGAAAATGCAAAAGCAGTGTGGTGGCGGTAGGATAAAGTAGAAAAGAAGGCGTATTATCTAACTGAAAAGTTCAGTCAGAATGAGTACTTCTCCTGGAACAAAACGATGAAATTCAAATTATAACTGACTCTGAATGGATCAGACGAAAATGACGAGGAAAATAATAAAGATAATTTCTGGAAAGGCTTAACATTTGTCAGTGAGGAAGCATAAACTATGAAACGTTTGACAAAGTGATAGGCATACATGGAAAAACTCCTATAAATAATAATGGTATCCGAAAATATGAATCATACATTGATTATATATTGGTAGAAAGAGAAAATAAAATTATAATTAAAAACGTAAGAAAAGCACCGGACATAGAAGACCACTACTTACCGATAGTAAAATCAAAGAAATGAAGAGTGAACAAATAACGAAAAATGAGAAATAAAACTTTTAATGTTTATTTACCACTCGAATTTGTAACTAACGTCACTGCAGTTTTATCCTAAAAGAACATGTTCAAACTAATACAATAATTTATTGTATTAGTTTGAAGAAGTTCTTATAAGACGTCCTGGAAGAATCACAGAACGCATATGCATTGTTCAATAATCAACTTCAGTTCTTCTGTTTCAATAGTTGAACCTAAGGAAAAATATGCCAGAAGCTGTTCAGTGAGCAAAGACATTTTCATCATGCCCAATATCAGTTAGTACTACTATTTTATCCCTTCCAGTTTGAAAAAAATAATCAACTTTCAATTCCATTTCATCTTTGCACAACTTTTGATAAACGACATTTACAAAAAAAAAACATTCTTTGAAGTGTTTGTTTTAATGGCAAGTACAAGAGTTTCTTCAGAAAAATATATGCTCTGGGTCCAAAAAAATAAAATAATACTGCGAACTATTAATATTTCACTGGGTACCTCTCCTCACATAACACTTTTTGGTATGGAGCCTTGCCTGATACTTGACAGTGTCCAACAAGTGCTGTGATAAGAATCGATCACAGCCTCTTTTGGAAGTTATTTCTGCTCTAGCATACTTTGTTTTCAATGTTGTTCCAATTTTTTCCTTCTGACAACTCAATATTTCTGATTTTTGAGTTGAAACTGTAGAATATGTGATATTTTTACTAATGTTGAGTTTTCCACCAAATTATCTGAAAGTTGAAGTCTATTTTAATTTGATATCGGAAGAATAAATGAATAAAGTAATTGCTAACACAATATTAATTTTTTTTGTGAAATTGTAGTGATGGTGCTTGATTTGAATGTAGTGAACCATTCAATTGTCTTATTAATGTCATTAAAATGCTTTTGCATAGTGTTATTATTATTCAAATAACTAGCATTACTATCGTATTTATGTAACACTTCATTGTGAGATTTTCAATGAACAGATTACAAAACCACAACACGTGTGTCACTATGCAATTGCTTCTTGAATCATGCTCAATACAAATTTTTATCGAAGAAGCTGTATACATTGTGAAACAGATATATATTAGGGTTTGGTAAACTATTTACAGAAAATCTCACATTGAAGTGTTACTTGAATACATAATCATGGAATTTCATAATTTTGGTCAATTCTATCACTAGTTTTTATTTTTTTATGATTTTTCTGTTTATCATTCTCTTGAAGTACAATTCAATGGCAATGTCAGCAGCATGATAGGTAAATAACTCTTCCAATGCTCGGAACGGTTTCATAATATCTGGAAGAAAAAAAAATATATCTATAAATTGATGAATGCAGCCGTTAGTTACTATGTGAAAGGAAATCATCATGAAAAATCAGGAATGAAATTTACTATATTTTTACCACGTACCAAATAAAAGTGGTAAATAACATAGAAAGTTTCATTTCTAAAATTATAACTATGAGAATTATATCCGATTTTGAAAGATTTTCATCAATTTTCTGATATAATATTTACTCTTTCAGAAGGTTGCACCCACAACTACATTCAGAGACGTTTTGTGGCGCTCATGTATTCAAAATGTATTCGTCTGTGATTCAAATACATAAATTCTTGGGTTGAAACGATGACGTCACATCATTTATGATTTGAAACGTATTCATCTTGATTCAAAACTAGCGTGTGGTTGGTTTTGAAACGGAATTTGACATTACGTTACGTCAGTTGTCAGTTTCTGCTTCATTTTATCGTTATACTTTATAAAGTGCTGAAAAATTTTCATCAAATACGTTGTAAGGATGTACAAAATAAAGCTGGAAAATTATTACTTGCATAAATCAGATCATAATTGAGTTAGAGAAAATTGAAAAGTTTGTTTTTACTATTGAATTTGACATCTGTCACAAAATGAATCATTCCATTCTGACGAATCTTATTATTAATGACGTAACTACGAATCGTTTTTGAATACACGTTCGAATACGATTATAATAAACGCCAGGAAACACTTCAGTTCTTAGGGTAACAACCTTTTCACAGAAGTGCAACTCTTTGAAAACATTTCTTACTCAAAATGTAATTCACACAAACGATGTGATTTATGAAGTTGTTCGGGATCTCTGCATAATAAAAAATTTCAGTTGACAGCTTTCAGACAATTATTTGTCCTTTGGGTAGAAAGCAAATTGAGGATAAAAAGAAATGGGAAATGAATTTGAAATCTACAGAATAATAACAAAAACAAATACATACAGTTAACGATCTGGTGCTATCCCGATACCAATTTGGTGATACAGCTGGAGGCAAATTCACGATAAATACAAATTAATCCTCCTATCCGATTTATCACCGCCTGTCAAATTTCTCAAATATTGAAAAAGTTCATCAGTCACAGAAAGTGATCAAAAAATACAAATTCAAACTCAAATAATACAATGAATGTTCATGAAATAAACAAGCTTTCCGTTTATTTACAGTAGCATTATAAAAAAGAGGTTGATTACTAAACTACCAAGTTATGACACATTCTTAGGTGACATTGTTTTGGAGGAAACTGAAGTGTCATGGAATACTGTGTCTGTGGTCTGAGTTTCGTCGGCTTATGAGTTTCATGAAGTCTGTATCAATGTCAATATTTCTATTAAAATAAAATATTCCATTTTCTTTGTCTTCCTGTTTTCGTAGGAATATATTTATAAGTTTTTTCATAAAAAAAACTAGACAGTTATAACAATAAAGTAGGAGATAACCTTTTCTACGTCTAAGTTTAGAGTTTATTTTGTAAATATTTTTTTAGCCCAGAAATCAGCTGTTATTTTACGATTGTGGAATACCATTCCCTTAGACTGATATTATTTTAATTATTAAGTTTGACATCACTTTTTAGTACCTGTTTAAGGTGTTTTTATTATTTTTACTTCAATATGTTCAGTTGCTTTTGTTTGAATATTCTTATCGAGGGAACTACGGAAGACACTAAGGTTACACTAGAAACTCTAAATCTGCGTGATGAAGAAAAAAACGATACTTTTTTCCGTCAAGTAAGTACACCTACTTTATTTACATTTGAAACTTACTATTGTTTCTGTTGAAAGGATATCCAGCAAGTAAAAAAATTAGAGAATATAACGAAAATCCAAGCCAGCCTGGTTCAAGCGCGAAATGTTGGTCAGTGGACTGTGAATTGTTGTATAAATTGTATTTGTGAAGCCTATGCGGTCCATAAGGAAAAAGGAGCCTCATGTGTTATTATTAATTCAAAATTGATGGCAAGTTTATCACTGCCAAGAATATTGTGAAATTTAATTTTTTTTTTGTAGGATCATAAATCAATAGATGAAGCTCGAAAAAGTGAAGATATCTCTAAAGTCTTCAACATAATTGTGACATCCAATAAAAAAAAAACCTATTTAGACAACATTCTCCTATCAATTTTTTATTGAAAAAATGCACAAATTTCTGGTTTATTGAAAGATTACAATCACATTAATATTCACTTCATTTATTTACTTCAGTACAATTCTGTCGGCAGCTCATTAGTCACAATTTAATTGCTGGAGAGCAGACACTCCAGCAGAATGTCTATTCTGTTTCTGTTACATAGAAAATGGTAGGAAAATATATTTTCAGAATTGAAAATATATTTCACTCCGTATGATTTGTTTGTCTTCCAAATACATCTACCCAGTTATTGAAAAGTCTGATAATGGAGTTTGAAAATAATCAAAATAAGACATCTACTGAAACTTTCTGATATTTTATGATGTCACAAGTTCAGTTGATCTGACAAATCAACATTCAATTTATACTGAATGATCCATAAAAGATACATAGAAACCCTGTTTTGTCATAAACTCTCGAAGCGAGAAATGAGATTGAACCAACATCGTTACAACATACTCTTACTTTGAGTTATAGTAACTCAAATCAAATTTTACATTGTGTTTTATCTAGCGACAACAAAAGATTCATTAATATGTCTTAATAGAATTATGTCTTCAGTCAGTTTCTTGGGATCTTTGGTTTTTTTTTCTTATGAAACATTCCTCTTTGTATTTTGATTTCAACTGCCTTTTTCAAATCCACTTCATCTTCTGTGTAGTGGTCCTTTTGAAGTACCTGTTCTCAAGTGACCAACGCAAAAATTACTATCTCTTCCAGGAATTAATTCATCTCTTGTAGGAATAAACTGCTTGCCAATCACAACGGGTCTAGATCCTTCTGGTCGAAAGCTAAAGCTGTTAATCAGAACTTTACAAAATCCACAAATCCAACACTAAAACGAGCGGATTATTCACTTGCAACAACAGCCTAAGAAAAAGCAAATCTACTGGTTGAACAATTTGCGGCTCATTCCACAGTCGATTTTCTGGGAAAGGCACCATCCACTCTTCCCACGCTAGGATCCACAATGCCGGAAATTACTTTTTGACAGCTTTAGTCAGGCGAGTTTTAGAACAGCTCAATATCAACAAGGAGTCGGGGCCCGATGAAGTGCCCGTCATCATACTCAAAAAGTGCGCAAATAAACTCGCACCAGTATTTTGCAGACTTTTCAACCTGTCTTATAAGTAAGGGGTTTTTCCTTCTTGTTGGAAGAAGGAGCCCATTCCCAAAAAGGGCAAGACCAGTCGCTTTGCTATCAGTGAATTAAAAAAAATGGAGAAAGCTGTAAACCACCATATTCTCAAATATTTGGAAGGCTTTAACATCTTGAGCGACCTTATTTGGAATAACACAATCGAGAAACATGGAGAATCCAGAGCTGTTGAGCTTGATATTTCTAAGGCCTTGACCGTATGTGGCATGAGGGTTTGCTGGCCTAACTTCGATGCTATGGCTTGTCAGATCATTTTTGTGTATGGCTCCCTGCAAGTGACTGTTGATGGATATCTCTCGAATACTTTCACCATCAACGCTGGTGTTCCCCAGTGGCTGGTGTCTCCAACCCTTTTTTTATTGTATATTGGAAAAAACCAAGAATCCAATATATTGCTTTGCTGACGACAGCACACTTGTCTCGTCATTCCATTTGGATTTCAGGACATCGGCTACGAAGGCACATCTTCACCGGCAGCAGGAGGTTGCATATCTTATGAGGATCTAGAAGTGGTTTCAAATAGGGGTGAAAGTAACCAGGTTCAATTCAATGCCACAAAAACCCAGGCATCGGTTTTCTCCAAAAAGATAAGTCTCCGAACCGGATATAATATTATCAGGTCACACAATTTCGCTTTCTGCTGTGATAAGTTTGTTGGGGGTTAAAATGGACATCAATATGTTTCGGCACAATCATGTCGCTGGAATTGCAAAGGTTGCTTCTCAAAAGCCTGGAACACTGTTCCGAACCAGAAAACTGTACACACCTCAGCATCTATTGATGCTTTATGAAGCTCAGAACAGACGTTCTTTGGAGTGTTGTTCTCATGTATAGAGCTCTGCCCCCAAATATACCCTGAAGCTGCTGGATTCCATCCAGAAAAGAGCCATCCGCCTGATTGGAGACGCGAACATCACGTGCAACCTTAACAGCCTGGAACATCGAAGAAAGGTTGGAGATTTGTCTCTCTTATATAGATACTTTTACGGGAAGTGTTCAAGTGACTTGACACATTTGATTCCACCAAGAGCGGTACATATCAGAAATACGCGACGGACTGTGGCTGCTCGTCGTTTTGAGGTTCAACTCAGTACTCTTTGAACTTCAGTGTTTAAGAACTCTTTCATTTGGAGAACTGCATTCATGTGTAATATTACTGAGAACGTTTTTCCAAATGGATTTAATCTCCAGCGATTCAAATCCAACGTGAATCGCTACTTTCTCACAGGTACCGCTCTGAGAGCGTCTTAAGGATTTTCTTGTAGTGCTTGTGTTTTGTCCTAAAAAAAACTTAAAGTTTTCAAAACTGCGACATTAGTTTCACTATACAATAGCAATACTCTAACAATATTAGCTACTACCTGCAGTCCAATCAGATAATTAAGTCTAGGCTAGATTCAACTTCCTAAAAAGGTCGCATATAATCTCTAATTCACATTTTTTTTTGCTCATCTTCAATGAAAATCGCTTCCACACAACTTCACTGAGGAGGTTGTCAAATATATCCATCTTGAATCTCTCTTTAGTTTCAATGATGTGCCTGATGGTTTTATATGCCCTCGTCTCCACATTTCTTCGTTAGATATCAAACTCAGCAACATCTTATTTGCAAATAGTATTTCTGATTCTTGAAGATACTATTGAAGATTTTGATCCGTCTGGAGCATGCGAACAATGTATGGACTGCATAATCTAGGTCACCGCACTATGGGGGTTCCACTGACTACGCTCTGACGCGGTCGTTCAGGAACTTCCTTAAACATCCGTGCTCAGATAGGCTTGTGTAAGGAGGTAGTCCACTTCATATGATCTCTCAGGCGGTCTGATATCCGATAAAGTCAATCTCCTATTTTTTCCATTATTCCATTTAGTTTGCCATCTCGTCTTTACATCTTGTCTTGCCATTGCATTATTCACATATACTTTTCGTGTCTCATGGAAAGAGCTTCAGATATCACTTCAGCGCTTTCTGCTGAGATGGTCCTTTAGAAGCAGCAAATTCTCATCAAAGTTTTCTCCTGTAAGCTCACTAGTTTCTTCAAAAGTTTCAGATTTCAAATAACTATGTCAGGAAGGCTTAGAGTGAAGTTGAATGACTTTTGACAGTTTGAGGTGATTTGTATGGCAGTATTCATGAGCAGTTCCTCTTCTTTTACCAAAACTAACATGCCAGTGCCATCCGAAAACCTATTAGGGTGAGTCTCAGTAAACCATCATATATTATGGTGAATTTGATCAGTAAGCACTTCTATTGTCTAATATGATTCAAAATCCATGAAAGAACAAATAAAATTAGAATGAATAGCTGAAATATCAATTATATTAAACAATGAAACGTGAATTGAAAACACAATAAAACGGATAAAATTAAAAACATGACTGAAAACTGAAAAGAATAAAAAAAAAACAAAAAATTAAAAAGTAAATTAAAACAGATTTCAAACCGAGTTACTCCACGACGTTTCGATTGTTACGAGTAGTATCCACAATCTTCTTCGGGTGATGACTGAATTATTTCTCCGGGAGATGACTAGTTATGGGTCTTTCGAGCACTTTTTCCTATCCCTTCTTTTTGCGGTTTAGCGGAAGTTGACCGCTTGGCGAGAGTTGGCCGTTATCCGCTTGAAAACAGGTTGCTTATCTCTACGCTAGCTCGGCTGGATAACATATATGCAGCTTTTTTGAACTTCATCTAGAACCAGTGCGTAGTTGGATAACATATATGCAGCTTCTTTGAACTTCATCTAGAACCAGTGCTCCTCCCTGTGGATGATCTCAGCTTGGGACCACTTGATTTTATTTTAATGAATCCAAACATGCTCTGTTACTCCCGATTTGCCGGTTTCTCCCCGCTGTGCCGCTGTGTGTTTTTCTTGTGATCGGCAATGCGGATTTTCAATGTTCTTTTAGTTTTACCGATAAATGTAATTCTTGGGATCGCAGTCCGCGTTTGGTGGACTCTTCAACACAAAATCAAGTGGTTCCATGCTGCGATCATCCACAGGGAGGAACACTGGTTTAAAATGAAGTTAAAAGAAACTGCATATATGTTGTCCAACGACGCATTCAGCCAAGCTTGCGTAGAGATACGCAACATATGGAAACCTATAATCAAGCGGATAATGGTCACATCCCACCAGTCGGTCAACTACCGCAGTCATCACAGTCCAGTCATCACCTGAAGACGATTGTGGATACTGGCAATCGAAACGTCGTAAAGTAACTTGGTTTTAAATCTTTTTTTATTTAATTTTTTGCTTAATTTTATTTTTATTTTTTTTTAGTTTTCACTTTGTAGTCATTTTCATTTGGTATCTTGATTATTTTATTCTTTTTATTGTATTTTCATTTCACGTTTTATTGTTTAATATAATTGATAGTTTAGCTATTCACTCTAATTTCATTTGTTCTTTCATAGAATTCGAATCATATTACACAATGGAAGTCCGAACTAATAACATTCACTAGGAAACATTGTCAACCACTTCCAAACACACATCATATACTATGTTCTAAAGGGTTGGTCCGGGAACAGACCCCTGTCGGACACCAGTATTTTTTGTCTCTGTTGGATGAAATATTTAAAATATAATATTTCTTTTGAAAAAAAATGTTTCAAGCATTGAATTTTCCAGTACCTTAATCAAATGACTTTTCAATAATGAGAAAGCAATCATTCAAAATCTTTGAAGAAGTGCAACTGTTAATAGAATTGTATTTGAATCTGTATGTAACACCACACAAAAACAAGACTTTTCAACTGAGTTTTGATTGAAAATTGGGACAGTCGAATTTATCCATTTTTCAACTGGGTATATAAACATATTATCTTATATTTTTTGAAAGCACGTTTCTAATGGAATCCGAATATGGAAAGGAATATATAACATTTCATGTTAAAAACATAATTTTGATACGCCACATTTCTACGATACTAAGCGTCATAGAACATTGACATATTTTGGGGAACCCGTCAATAATATCGCTCGTTTTTTGAAAAAGACATGCTTGGACGTGGCTTTCAGAACAAATAATTGAAGTAAATTCATTAAATATAATGAAGACTAGTGACATAGGCGTAGTTTCTCGAATTACACATTTGCAAAGCATTTTTTGGCAAAGGGGCACGAGTTCAATCACGACTATGACGTGTTACATTCGTAAAAGAAAGGTTTGAAACTCATTTCAGTTATTTTTATTTATTACATGTCCATTAAAATGAGTTTTACATAGTTTATACCTAAACTTAGTCAAAATTATGTATCAGTAAGTAGATAGAAGGTAATATGATTCAAATTGTTGAATTATACAATAAAGCACTAATTATGTGGAATTTACTTCGCTTGCTATCGTTGCTATATCTGTGACTGAATTGCACATTTTCTGTGACTTGTTTTTTACAACAGTAGCAGTCGTTCGCTATCCTTATCCTTTCTTGACCTCCACAACATTCTTGATGGTTTGTTCTTTGTTCGAAAGTATTGACACATTCCGATGATTTCTAAGGCCATACACGCACACTCGCCGATTTCTTAATAGTGAATTCAATTAATATATTTTTATATGTACCTATTTTATTTTAACTTATATTCGAAAACTGTTAGTATATCGTCATTGTGACTAGTCGTTACTATTAGTTATCAATATTATGTAGGTGTAAAAAATTCTTTAGGTCCCTGCCAAACTTTTCAATCACAGACCTGCATTTTCAATTCAATTTCTCAATTTCTATATCCAGGGTCAAGTTCAGTGATGACGATCATTTTTTTGCTATTTCATTGAGTTCACATTGGTAAAAATTGCTTCTATTGAAAATATAAACCTTATTGAGTATCTTCTAAAGATAATTCTGGTTATTATCGATTAGATTTCACCATGATTAATACCCTGATTTGAACAATTGAAACTTTGAACATACACATTCACCACTTACTCTAGAATAATTTGTTATAATGATATGTAGTTATTGTTTTGTCAACGGAAAGAACTATATCTGCCCCATTCCCAACAATCTTTTAATAGCTCGGAAGAAGTTGCAATGACAATATGCAAATAGGTTTTTATTTAAATACACTATGTGATTTTGATTTAAAGGCACAGCCTTAATATAACAACACTTTTTGTGCTAACAACTATGTTTTCCACTTTTATTGAAAGAGTTCTTTTGACGGAAGTAAACAATTTTGTTTTCTCCATATTCATCAATTCATTTAATAACTTTCTGCAAGTCCTGTTTGTAATCAACATTTTTTTATGGCAGATTAAATCAACCATCCTGATCATATTCAATTATCCATATTCTTTTTTTTTATTTATTCTTTCTTATAATTAGAGGTACTCATATAAATTTGTAGGGTTTTAAATCTATATTCTTCAGATGTTCGTTGCGATCCTGAAATCATCCTCAGAAATATTAGAGAAAATATAGCCGAATTTTTGAGGAAAGAAACACTAGCTGTAGAAGAAAGGATAAAAGCATACTCCATGGAACAGTATGAGATATTAAATACTTTAAAGGACACGGCTTATGAAGAACATGAAACTATAGTGAGGTGAGTAGCAGCATCAATATTCTAATATTTTCACCAGTTGCCGATGCATTGTACAGTGCGAATGTAAAGAGAGTGCTACCAACTTAAAAAAAAATGGAAATGATGTTTTGTGATAAACCGTTTGATGGTATTTCAATTCTCTATCCAACACTTTAATTTTTGGAAATCGAATCAGTTCTTAATGAGTAATCAGATGTTTTAAATTAAAATATTCACTTTTCTTCTCCTGATGATAATAACATTTCTTCACAAATTAATTTCTTACATTATGGAATGTTTCTAGGATAATTTCGTTAGGTACAATATATATAATATTTCCTGATTGACTCAGCCGTTACTTGATGAACCACAAACCACTCCGGAAACGATTTATGAAGATCAAATTGTTTCCGCAGTAATTTATGAGAAACATGTCTAATATAATTCAAAAGCAAATTAGGAAATTAGGATCATGAAGTTCCAATATAAGTCTAAGAACTAACGAGTTGTTACCTTTTAACGTGTGATTCCTAACACGGGTTGGACGATAGCAAGTGAAAACCGATCGTTCAGCCTGGGGCTTGAACCAACGACCAACACGGCGGTCGTTTTTGGTGAGTGAATAAAGCACCCACGTCGAACCGACCGGCTACCGACCTACAAGGACATTTTCAAATGAATACAATAAACTAAAATAATTAACAATGTACACCCTTATATACCTATACAACTAGAGTAGGGAATAATAGACGATTCTTAATGACTTTTATACCTTAATTTTGTTTACCTGTAAAAATGTGGGTACGCTAATCTGAAGACATGTGAGTAGACAAGGTCAATTTGCTAATTTAGTAAGTTGAATCAGCATTGCTTATGTTTATGAATTTCCGAAGAATCCAAATACATAAGTTCCCAGTCCTTGCCTGCATAGTGCAAAATTTCCGCATCGTTTAGATTTGGGAACTTGTGTTTGCATTTCAAGGAATGGTTTGTGAACGTAGAATCATTTTTACCTACTCTGAAGAACCTTTCATGTTCAACATATCGTTTTGAGAAATTTTGGTCACATTTTCCAATATAAACACTATTACGCTCCGGAGATTTAAGCTTATAAACTCTAGATTTCTCCATCTTGTCCATACGAAATCATGGCAGATCTAAAAAAACGCGATTTTCTCCATAAAGAAGCCAAGGAAACCAAACTACAATGTGACTGGGATAAATATAAAATAAGTCGTGATTTCGTTTCCAAAAAGATACGAATTGAAAATAAAAAGTATTATGAATCAAAGATCGACGAAAATAAAGGCTATGTGGAAAGCACTGAAAGGTTTAGTAAAGAAATAGGAAACAAGAGTTCAAAGGTATACAATTTGATAGTGATAGTGATAGAGCAATTGATGAAATTTATAGCGAAACATAATATTTTGATAAAAGAACAATCTGGATTTAGGAAATCCCATTCATGTGAAACTGCACTGCAATTTCTAATTTCTTTGTGGAAAGTTGAGCTATCTAGAAACGTATTATAGGTGTTGTCTTTCTGGATTTCAAAAGGTCATTCGAGACGGTCAACATTGAGTTACTTTTAATAAAATTAAATAAGTATGGACTAGATTATAAAGTATTAAAATGGTTCACAAATAACCTCATATATCGGACGCAGCTAGTTAAATATAATCAAGTGACATCCAGTACTTTAAATGTAATTTCAGGAGTCCCTCAAGGGTCAGTATTGGGTTCACTGCTATTCTTGTTGTACATAAATGATATTGTGGTACATGTTAAAAGGTGTAAGATAAAACTGTTTGCCGACGACACTATGTTTTACTGTTCTGGGACAATTAATGACATCTCAGAATGTTTAAATGAGGAACTATCAAATATAAACGAGTGGTTATGTGACAATGGGCTCAAGTTAAATGTTAATAAAACAAAATGCATGTTAATAGGTAGCAAATATCGTTTAAGACAACTGCAAGATGAACAGCTGTCATTGAATCTTTATATTGATAATGTCATCATTGAAAGGGTAACAACTTTTAAATATCTAGATCAAGAATTGAACCTTAATGCGCACTGTAGTTATATTCAGAAGAAAATAGCAACGAAAATTCATCTTTTATATAGATTGAAAAATAAAATAAGTGAGTATGCAAAATTTACAATTTATAAATAATAATAGCACCCCACTTTGACTATTGCAGTACATTACTATATTTTGTGAGCAATTAAAGTCTACTTATGATGCACTGTTTGGAACGTTTGGTGTAGTAATGAATATTACTGGAGTTTTTTCCCAACACCAAATCGGTATTTTTAACACCTCGACACGTGTTTCGATCACCAAACACAATATGTTGCCAAATTATCTTAGTGATCAGTTAACCTACACAAGTAGTATTCATACACACTCCACTAGAAATAGAATAGGAAATTTTTATATCAACAGAGAACATATAGGTTATGACTCGTTGTATAGTTCTGGTCTGATTGCATTTATTAATTTGTCAAGTCATATAAAAAGCTGTGATTCATTAAATTCATTCAAAAGAAAATGTAGTCAATATATTTCAAGTGATAGTCATCAATAGTTCCTCTTGCTTTCTAGTTTTTATGGTACTATGTACCATGTACTATGTACTATGAACAGCATTATTTGCTAGTAAAGAGTAATGATATAATAATAATATTTATCTTTGGCATTAAAAAGGAAATTAGATAACCTGGCATGTGGCCTGAATGCCACTTTCACATTCTTTTTTCTAAAAAAACTCGCAATTGTTTCTGTTCTTTTACCAAAATATGTTAATGCTGAAATTTCGTAATTTCTGATTATTAATCTATACATAAATTTAAGGATTTTTTTTCTGACTAACTTATAGATTGTGTCTGTGGGTTCCTACCTGTGTTCCTACCATTTTTACCTACTGTAGTTGTAAAGGTAGGTATGTAAGGGTGTACATTGTTGATTATTTCAGTTTATTGTATTCCTTTGAAAATGTAATGTTAGTTGCTACAGTAAAACTGAAGTCATAATTCTCATTTTTCATGATTTCCTACCACATAGTAATGGCTACAGCCATCAATTTATAATTACAAATATTTCCTATAGAATGAAACCATTGATAGTTTTTTGAAACAGTTGTATTTATATTTTGTTTTTATAGTTCGACTTTTTGAATTATCAAACTATCAATTATAGGTATTGGAAAATATAAAAAATTGATCAGGAATAATCTGGAAAAGTCAATGAAAGTGCTGGGTACACTGTGCAAGTATGCTGGTATTCACAGTATTGGTCTCCAATTACGTTTAAAAAAATTTCTTGAAAATTGGCTGGTCAACAGCCATTGGTCCTTTGGATAACTTGAGAGGCCTGAAAAAATCTATTTCTTGCATTTTTGTATCAAAGAAAATCAACAAATATGAATTCCAGAATATATCGTGATAAGAAGAAGTAATAGGTAAAAGATAAAACTGAAACCCCTGGCGTAGAATACATTCAAAACAAGCACTTTTCCCAATCACTCGAAATGCGATAATTTTCTCGATGCGTGACTGTTTTCTTCAACTCCCAAAGACGCCAACTTGGTTGGTGAAACGCGCGTGTCGAGAAGAGTATTGCATTTCTGGTGATTGGCAAACATGCTTATTTTGGGGAAATAATAGCGTTCCGTTTTTCCCCGTGGGTAGACCAATAATTGACTACTCATCTAGTACGGCAGGGAACATCGAACATTCGCGCGCTCTTAGCTACGTCACAATTGGTTTATGGTTACCAGTGGCGGTCGGCGTTATTTTCTTTAGGGTATGATTTACAACAATGAAATGTAATGTGATAGAATTTGCCGTTACTTGATGAAAAATCCATAACGTATTCAGCTGACACTTTGAAAACATATATTTAAAATATGTTTTTCCGTTGACTAGCTGTCGCACCCCTACGAACAACAACCCCGAGAAGTCGAAACTTGTGCGAGCTCAAAACTAATGAGGTCTTACCTTTTAACGTGTGATTCGTAACACGGGTTGGACGATAGCAAATGAAAATCGATCGTTCAGCCTGCGGATTGAACCACCGACTCACACAGCGGTCGATTGAATGAGTGAAAAAGCTCCCACGTCGAACCGACCGGCTAGCGACCTTTATTGTGAGAATTTCACTGGACAGTTTACAAAACAAAATATAATATATAATAGAATGTTATTATAACTTCGAATATTGAAGCTGTCAAAATATATTACAAGTTCTTCCAAAGTGTCCACACTATATTTAAAATTGAATAACTAACATTCTCTATGATTCATGTGTGGTACTACATAATAAACATAATCTATTTGTTCAGTTCAATCAAAATTCTAATGATGGGCGGACGTACATAATAAAATATCAAAAAAGAAAACTAACCCATCAGAGTAACATGAAGTTTAACAGGGTAATTTTGAGCTCTAATTGATCGATGTGTTTCAAGCCAGTTATACCAAAACTGGACATGGGATGTTTTCAACAAATATCTTTATAATCACGCCTTATAATTTACTATTTTATGTGTTACTTCATAATTTGTTTTTAATGAAAATATTTATTGGTTATAATAATTTCACTGGAAAAACGTCTAATCAGTTAGTAACTATTGAAATTTTTATAGGTCATAAACTTGTTTACAACAAATGCATCAAAATAAGGTACTTCAAAATATTTGTTGCATTCCATCTTATCTGTAATTCAACTGAACATAAACTATATTAGAGAGTATTGAATGTGTTGATTTTGTGGAATCTGTCTGATTATCCATTAGGCGCAGGTAACAAAGAATGGGTTACAGTAACAACACTAGTTGTTATGTCACACTAGCTGTTATGCCACAGAATCTAATTTTTTGCTCTGACAATAAGCAATGAAATGGTAAAATTTTGTAGTATGTCTAGAAAATATACTTTGTTGATACACCTGTATCTTTAAGGAATCAACATTTTAGGAAAACGTGAGGATCCGGAAATATTAGATTCAACAGGAACACTTTCATTCTCGAACAAAGGTTTCAATCATCACAAAACTGATAAAAAACCAAATTCAGCCTGATCAAACTCCCTATCAGAAAAAGCAACTCAACTTCCTGAAAAATGGACTTATAGTGCGTCAACAGGCTGACGAGTAGAATTTGTCTATTGAACACTTCAACAATACCTCGAAAATCATAGAAAAAATAATTCCAGGCAGCCCTTCGCTTTATTACCAAAATGTTAAAGGTCCTAAATCTAAACTGACTAACCTCATCTTGAATGTTAGCAATTGTTTTTATGATATCATTATTTTCACTGAAACCTGGCTGACACCTGAATTTACGGATGCAGGACTTTGGCTTCTTAAATACAATGTCCATAGAACTGACTGTTCTTTTGAATTCGGTGTTTTCAGCAGGGGTGGGGGTGTATTTATAGCTATTAAAAAAAACATTTTCCGCTTATTTCATTCAGTCTGATCCTTTGATAGCACATAACAAATCTATAATTGGTACCTATTTATATAAATCTTACTTTGATCATCTTATCACCATAAGCGAGCAATATGCTAGTGCAAACCTTTTTCTATTTCATGATTTTAATCTTTCTGCAGCACTATGGGATGTAGATGATTATTGCTCCGTTGCTTCTCCTATGCCTCCAGCTACATAATCTGAGATTAAATCTATTGAAACAATATCAAACATCTGCGCTTTCCTCAATCTTCTTCAGTCCAGCGAAATAATCAATGATAGAGTAGTTACTCTTGATCTCATTTTATCATCTTTAGATATTACACTAGTGAAGGCTGTCGACATTTTAATTCCAGAAGATTCCCATCATCCTCCGCTTGTAATTTGCCACTCAAAATCGCAAAATGAATATTACTATAATTATATTACTGTGACTTCCTTCTCGCTGACTATGCAGCAATACGTTCGTCTCTCGAAGCAAATGATTCGGATGGTGCACTACATGGAAAAGAGCTTTCTGATATGGTTTCTATATTTCATGACATTCTTTATTCCATCATTGATCGCTTTGTTCAACAAAAAAAATTCTGTAAAGAGATTTTCATGCTGGCGCTCTCCTGAAGTGAATAAACCATTTTATTTGAAGAAATCACCTCAAAAGATTTACAAAAGCGCAAGGTGTTCAGAAAGCTTTGCAGCATTTAGTAATTTAAGACCTAGCTGTAAATTTTTAGAAAGACAGATTACATCCAATATATTGAACATTCTATTATTAATAATGTTAACTTCTTTTGGAAATTTGTAAGCAGCAACAGTTTTCGATTCATACAATGCCACTCAAAATCGCAAATGAATATTAGTAACTTCCTTCTCGCTGACTATGCAATCGATTGGGATGGCGCACTATATAAACTTTAGGAAAAGTTGTTCACAAACTGATTGGTTCATAATTCGTTATATCGTTTTGATCGTCAGTATTACAACAGCTTACCTCATTTGGTTTGAAAAAATTCTAGATTCTAAACAAGAATTGGAAATGTGACAAAAAATTTGTAAAATGTCTTCAAAATAGCTACTGGAATGTATCAGTTTCACTACTAATTTAATATTTGATTTTATGTCTTGCTTGAATTATTTCCTTTTCACTAATTGGATGCAAAAACATGTGACTTGTGACTTGTTGGGGAAATTCAGTAGTTTGTTATTCAAACTTAGATTTTTAACAATCGGTTCAGACTCAACAAAGTTTTGTTATTTAAATGGTTGATTATGATCCAAGTAGTTTTTGATTCATTTTCACTGCTTTTAATCATGTTGATGAAGTAATCATTTTTTGTCTTATTCAAAAGTTTCCCTGCATTCCCTACAGGGTCCGGATCTTTTTTTTAGGCAGGGCAAAAACTGAAAAATTCCGCCTTGGTCCACTTATATTTATTTTTGCCTTCATCATCTTTATAATTTCAGTTATCAGTTGCCCACTAATTGATTGACATTTGGACATAGGCTTTTCGGAAATAATGCATTCATCGCTGTTCCTTCTATGTTAAGTCTATTCATTTACAGATATATAGACATGACCGTGTAGGATATATACTTTATATATAACACAGGATAGGATTTAATATAAATATGTAAAATAAAAATCAAATATTTTATTGAATATTGTGAATTGAAATTACAATTTTACCCTT